TAAGAGTGGAATAAAAGATAAGATCGATAATCGAGATTCACAAAATTTCATATATCACAATTGATCGAATCATATTAACGAAGAAATTATAATTTCATGGTAAACGAACAAATTTGATATTGTTACACCACGTGATATTTTCTGTCACATGTAATGCCCTTACATATTGCGAAGTAATGAAAGTGAATTAATTAATTTAGGTAAATCAATGATAAATTAAAAGGGAATTTAATTTATCTTATTTTGATTGTATCAAAATAATAATTCGTGTCTGTTATGTATTTGACGTCATTGGCAAGTTTGTGAACATAAGGGACTAAAATTAACATGTTGTAAAAGTCAAGGAGTTATGTGCAAAAAATGAAAATTGAGGTATTTTAGGTATAGGGTTCGAGAATGGAAAAGAAGGAAAAATGGCGCTGTAATTTTGCTATACTGTCGCCAAGACTTGTCTCGAGCTTCATAAACAGTAACATTGTCGCTAGCTTGTTGCCTAGCCTTCGCTCGAGCGACACACTATCGCCCAATTCTCACTCGAGAGATGGTTTATTCGAGAATTTTTTAATTTGTTTTCTTAAGGGTTTTTATGTGGCCCATTCATATCTTGACCTACATATAAATACTTAAACGTCTCTGAACGAGATTTCTAAGGTTGAACATTGTGAAAAACATATTCTTGTCACATCATCTTGATAAATTTGTTTTCAACCTTCATCTTGTTATTGGTGATTGGCGGTGAAAACATCAAACTCACAATCCAAATACCAAACTGCTACTTCCTTCCTATCTGTCAGATGTTCTGAAGATCAAGGAAAGGTGACTGGAGTTCCAGTCATTGAAGAACGCGGTATTCTTCGTTAATCCACAAGAGAGACGATTTCACAAAGTTGGGAGTTGTTGCAGGTGAGTGCAATCCAAGAGAGCTTTGGAAACCGGAGCTTGGAGTTGGTGCAGGAGCATGAAGTCTATAAGAGATGTTGAAATTGCAGTCAGGAGGTCAAAAAGTACTAGTGGTACTAGAGTCGGCAGACTATAAGTTTTAAATCGTTAATAACGGATACTTTTCTCCGTGATCATATCTTGTGTTAATTTATTGCTTTCATAACTGCGGTATTCAAACATATGATAAATATTAATAGTGACTTGTTACTATTTAATTATTAACTTTTTTATTCCGCGTAATCACCTATTCACCCCCTCTAAGTGTAGTTTGAATCGAACTTCGTATTTTCAATGTCGTTCGATATCGTGATCGGGAATCTAATAAGTTCCACGTAAAGGGAAGAACTAGAAGAAAGCTGTTATAAATAAAATCATCGATAAG